AGTCAGAGGGCTGGGCTGCTCATCCAGGGGCGATGGAAGGTATTGTGAGGAGGAGTGCCGGCGCCGGCGTTCCTCCCCAGCACGGTATCATGACCAGCCCGAGAGTAGCAGTAGTCGAGGAGTTACTCACTGCCAGCCTTACCTCCCTCTTCCTAGGGCGGTCCACAGAAGGCCATCAGGAGGGAGGGGAGGAGATTAGGGTTGATGCAGCGCACAGTGTAGGTGAAGAGGGAGAGATGGTAAGGGAAGTGGAGGCGGAGGTCGTTAATAGTAATCAGGAGGAAGGAGAAGATAGCGTTATTGAGGTCATGCCGATGTCTCCACCGAGGTCGGACGAGGAATCCGAAGTTCTACCGATCCATCACGTTGTTGCTGAGAGGAGCCTCCCTAGTAGAAGGGTAGAAGCCGTTGAAGTGAACAATTCTGTAGAGTCGTTGCCTGGACTATATCGTAGGGTATCAAGGAGTGAGGCTTTAGAGGTATCATTGGAGTCTGTACACCTGGGTGGGGAGGCAGTAAGCAGTAGACAGTGGGTAGGCACACCAGAAGACCTCAGTATGAACGAAGAGGATGAGGCCTCGTCAGGGGTATCGGTGTAGATAGCATGATGACCATCATAATGCAGCAACATTTCTTCCCCTTCGAGACTCGTGTTCACCATGTCATATAACAGCTCGCACATGGGCTGGAATATAACCCTATTGACTGTATGTTAATACCGTGTAAGATTCCACTTGACTCTAAGACTTCACTCCCTTGTTGACTCGTGAGGTTGTATAATAATAGGAGTCGTTCCAGAGACAGGCATTCAGGTGACCTCTTATATGCCTGTGAATCACCGTGTTGAATAATAATACCAATCCCGGTTCGATGAATCAGATGAGGTGTTGGACTATCGCCTACCTCTCGGTGAAACGGTTTTCTACGCAGCCAAAACCGGAACGTAAAACGAGCAGCTTGAAAATGATATTCACATTCCCGTATTTTATGGCTGTCGTCCTACGGGCATCCGGCTCCTCCACGCAATCTGCTGAAGCACCCATATCAGTACGGTCAATAGTGGCCTCTAGTACCTCAGAAATAACCTTCACATGGGAGGCACCATTGCAGTTGAACGACTGTATCTTCTCTGCCTGGTCAGTGACCTTGGATGAGGCCTCTGCAGATGGGGAACCTCTAGGCCAAGCTTTCATCCCATCGGGGTGTGAAACCTTGACGAGCATCTGCGACCGCAAATGCACAGCGACTAATCTCTGGTCGTTCACACACTACATCGCCTACGTTAGTATTGAGTGTGAGAACACCGAGGCGAACAGTGCTGCGAGCAACTCTTCTACCATATCGGTAGCCTATAGCTTCTTGGCTCGAAGTCCGTGGGACCTCCCAGAAGATCCTCCCTCTAGTACCTATGTCGTTGTTGGCGCTACAACCAAA